AGTATCGGTTTAAAAAAGTTTGGAATGATACCCAGCTCTTCTATCCATGAGCCAAATCAGTTGTGACTGATTACCGATTTCTGGAGAAAGTGGGGAAAATGAGGCTTTACTTAGTATCTAATGTGCCCTGACTGTGCATGTGTACACAGTGTTCTCACCTTGCCAATAACAGGTATGTCCACAGATCCCCAGGTGTCCGCACCCCAGTGTACCATCCCTGATGCAAAGTCTGCCGTTACTATTCCTAGGACTGGCAGACACGCACAGAGACAGAGAGAAGAAAAAAGTGGAGTAACATACTGTATATTGCTACTGTAGATACAAGCAAACACCAAAACAATTTTACAAATGTGTTACAAAAACCTCATGTGGACGAGAACAATGGCTTTGGACTGAACTGGTTTATTTTGAGAAATGATTTCCAACATTTTGAAACAATTATTTAAATGAACTTAGTCATGTTAATTGTAGTATTAAGGTGATATCATTACAGAGAGAAAACTTATGTGAGAGCCAACTCACCGATGCCGAGGATGATCTTGTAGATGTGGACGGTGGAGAAGTGGAGGAGGAGGAAGGAGAAGTTGATGATGAAGAGGAAGAGGCACAGAATCACACACAACCACTCCTGGAGCCGCTTACCTGAAGAAAAACCAAGACACAAATGACAAGAAAAACTGATTAATTACCTTACCATCATCAAAACAGAGATTATATTGTTGGGTACTGTGCTTTGGCTACTGAGGAGAGGTGAGGAGGCTGACGATGAGAGTGGAAATGATAAAAAGCTGAGGGTGTGTGATGTGCTGTCTTAATGAACTGGGTGAGGTCGCTGCAACCACTGGGAGAACAAGTCATTCCTTAGCGAGGGTCAAAGGACCACTCAGCCACAAGCACTGTGTGTGTATGTCCAGGGTGTTAATATGTAATCAGTCAGATGAAGACAAGTGTACTCCAGGCTGTGGGGTCACGACCTCTCGTATGTGAAACCAAGTGCTGACGCAGCACCAAGCCTGCATGGACACACACACGGGTTGTTGCAGGTGGGAGGTAGACCTCTACAGGGACAAGGCCAAACTCATAGGTCAGCAGTATTAACTCAAGGACAGAGGGAGAGGGACTAACTAGTCATATTCACACATCAGCAGTATTATGAGAGAGAGATGGGAGGGTCAAACTCAAAACCCTTCAGCCACACAGCCCTGAAGATTAGAGATACTGAATTATTGAAAACACATCGCAGAGCTACAGGCCACCTAATATAGCAAAGTACTGCAGTCTTCTCTGGGCTACTGTCCCCCTTTGTCTAGCCTGTCAGCCTAAGCAGGAAATGTGATATCAACATATCTCACAACTTACCAAAATCATTTACAGAGCACACATATAGAAATACTGTTATGAAGTCACTTTCTTTTGTTCTTATCCTCTCCTCTTTCCACCCTTCTCCTAATACTTCTTTCTTTGCCAGTCTAATATGCTTTTAAATCTTTAATGTGCTCAGATCTTAATGTATCACACAGCATTAGCAGCCTATAAGATATTCATGACAGTTTTTTTTTTTATAAAACACACAGGCTTATGAGTGTGTGTGCCTATAGAGCTGCGTGACTATGAATATGCTATCAGCCTCTCATAAGGTATGGACTGAAGCGGCCACGCGAGATTTAAAATACCTGATTATGGAGAGTATAATGAATCACCAAATGTGACCCTTCACCTTCTAAAGATAGACGGTGTCAAAGTTGTGAAGACACTGACAGCTAATTTAAGAGCAGACTGAAGTTTGGCTGCTAAATAAGTCTGACTTTGCAACTCAAAGATGTTTAGCAAAAGTCTTGTTTGCATTCCTGGCAGTAGTTGGACAGTAGTGATGTGGCAAATTATCAAGTATTTTTGTTTAAGGTTTATTTTGGATGCTCTGATGCTCTGCAACAGTCCAGAAAGCAGATATTTCTTTTAAATTTAAAGGACCAGTTTACCATTTTCTTTCTTGATTGATCCCACCGCACAGTAAATATGAAGCTTAGTCTTACCTAAAGACCCTGATTCAAACAGACTAAATGGAAACAGAAAAAATCTGTTGCCCCACACGACTGCTCTGAAAGGAAATACTCCAAACCTCCTACACGTTTTCACTTCTGGACACACACCTTAGTCTAAGGGGCTGGACTCTGCTACAGAAACTGGTTCATACTGTATTTATATGCTATGAGAATGCATTCTAAAACAAGCATGGCACATTCATTCATCATTCACAACCTTAACAGCCAATTCAGCCTATTCATGGGCTAATGTGGCCCCTGCTCAGAGGACAACATTAAGCACAGGCATGAATTCTACAGTCAGTGCCATACTACATCACTTTATTGCCAAATAAACAGTATAATGCCTGTTTGGTGCATTCCAGTGAAGACACCATTAGGATTACAATATTTTTATTTGTACAGTGGTATATTTTTAGGGGAATTCAAAGGCTGTCCACAAGATGTGCAACTAAGGCGATTAGATATTTGCAATGTTAAAAAGAAGCTGAAGTCATTTAAAAATACAGTAACTGTTCCTCTCTGGCTGTGGCACAGTTATGTACTGCTATATAAAAAGGCTAAAGAGGTTTGTAAACAAAATTCCTAAATATTTCAAATGGAGGTAGCTTCATTTGTAAAGACGCCTGGCGTTAAACACTTTAGACTGACAGGAGTTAAGGGCCCGTTCAGTGACACATAAGAAGTGTGGTGATGCGGAGGAGGGAGGGAGAGAAGAGTTATAACAGCAATAAAACACAAGATTGTATTTCCTTATCACTCACTGGCTGCCCTTTGCGGTTTGACAGGTGAGCCTGGTAAATTATTGTTTACTTTTTCTACCTGCACCGTCATAATGCTGCTCTGCCCTGTCAAACTGTATGTGTCGTGTTCTTCCACTTCCAGCACACAACATGTTTACAGGACAGTGGATTACAACCTGGTGCTCTGTACGTGCAGCTCAGGTCCAGTGTAAAGACTAAGTGTGTCTCTGTCACATGGCCCAGGTAATGTGTGTTCTGTACTGAGGTTAAGTAGAGCACTGTTGGCTCTGTTGGCTCCAAGTTTCTCCATTTTCTTCAATCTGTCCCTAGGTACAGACACACACACACACACACACACCTCAAGGGATCAGGACACCAAAATTCAGTCTCTCTGACTCTGCGTCTACATCCACACACACACACTGAACGCAAACACACATCAGCAAACCAGTTAGCATTCACACAAAACATGTTACTGCAAATGATGGTTTTTCTAACACATTCTCATACCTCCATCTATTACACATACCCTCTGTCACGTATGTTCTGTCTCCATCACATACACACACAAACACATACACACACCGGGACCACGGAGCAGGTCCATGGAGCAGTGGGGCGGCTGTCAGGTGATATGCGTCAGTCCTTGGATCCTCCAGCTCCCTGGTGAGGGGAAGGAAACTAGGACAGGGCTCCACTGAGCACACATGCGCACACTCTGTCACACACACACACACACACAGAGGCCCTTGTCCCTCAGGCCATGACATTGCTGTATATCACACAGAGATACAGACCAAAAACAAGCTCTACAAGTACGAATGTATGTATGAACAGACATATGCTACCACATTTGAACACACATGCAGACTATGAGCAAACACAAACCTCTCATTTTAAGTACACAAGCCCAATATGGCATCACTTGGCATCCAAACACCAAAATTAAAGATGTACACTTAGACACATGCACTACACGCGCTCTTAGGGCCAAAGCAGCACACTCATTAATATCATTCTGACAACAACTGGCTCCCTGGCAGGCTCTTCGCCATCGCTCACCCGGCAGCGCGCACCACCCCCCCCGCCTGCAAGTGTGCGCGTGGGTGTGCACGGGGATTTAACCTGGGCGGAGCCAGGGGAAGGTAACGAGGAGTGCTAATAGGCTGAAATTAATCAACGCCGGCTGATTCGCTGTCTGGGGAATGAGTGGCGGACAGCAGGCAGGCAGGCAACATATCCTGAATACTAATGGGCTAATGGAGAGGCGGAGACCAAAAGTAGGGCCCTTTACTGTTCTCTGCTGTTTGTCAGGTAACACGGAAAATAGGCGAGGGGTTGAAACATGTCAAAATGTTGGTTTTGAGTGATTTTGTTGTATATTAACAAGCAAACCAAACATTAAAATCCAGATTAATGTGACAGAATGCAAACAAATACCCAATACATTTATATGACACAAACATCATCCTCTGTCAGAAGGCGGCAGTGACGCTTCTTATCAGTGCCACTTCTTTGGTGTTCTATATTAAAATGTTTTGCAATCTGCAGTACCAGTATAAGACCAAGTGTGAAGAGTTGTACTATTATTACTGTGGGAAAACAAAAACAATAAGAGTCAGGCCTTTTCTGCATTAAGATGGCTAAATCTGAAACCACATACTGTATGTTTCTTCCTCCCTATTTTGGCCTTTCATCTACAGCAAACTGGAGCAAGAAGAGATTTAACAATGTTCTTATATACTAGCAGTTCTGCATGTCCATGAAAATGCTAGAGTCAGATATCTTTTCACATGAGAGCAGCATCATTATTGTAGACTCAAACCTATTAAGCTTCTTAACAGAGCAGGCAGTGGAGACATCACATCACTTGTGATGACCCTGGATAGCCAAGAAGACTTCATTAGTTAATTAGGGTTATGTTTTGGAATCTTTGAGTTTTGAAATTGCGTTCACATTTTTTGTGACTAGTGGCTTTGCAAGTGTGTGTGTGTTTTTTTTTAATTTACCTGTCAAATCTATTGTAACATGTCTATTATGCAGCAATTCCCTCAACCCATGACAAGAGATTCATCTGGGAGATAACTTTAAATCTTAAAGGGAAACTACATACTGCATTATATACATCTTTTAGCTGTAAACATAAGCAGAGAATTTAGTTGACAGATGCTGTGCAGACGAGTGATGTTCCAATAATATTCATACTGTGTGTAAAATAAAACAAAAGTCTTTTCTGAAGTTATGCTGTATATGAATGAGATGTATTATATGAATGAGATGTATTAGTCAGCAGAAACAGTAAACACAACAATGGGCACACTAATAAATCTGCTGTTTTTGAGAGCTTAAACATTTAGTAACTTTAATCTTGAAAACCAACCAGTTACGTTACCGACTCTCATCCAGATGAGAAACACATCTGGAAGGCGGGACGGGGTGGGGGGGTGCCCCACTTATCTGCCCAAATGATCCTGTTGTGAGGAGTTTACAGACAATTGGGACTGCGTGGGATCATTGTCATCATGGAGATTTCCCGTCAGATTTCTTGAGACTGGAACTCAGCTATATTTGGGCACACAAACCTGCACTAATAATGCCGTCTTTAAATGTCATCTCCCCTGCACCTTTTGCAGGCAGCCCCACCTCAGCAGACTCCCACCTCCATGTTTCTTGGTCTGCACCACCACTGGGGTGGTCCTGGGGAGGTCAGCACCAAACATGCCTGTAGAGGCTGACTTCATGCAAAGCCTTCTGCTTTTCACGATGACATAACCGTCTAGAAAAACATATTTCATAAAGATGCACCTCAGTTTTTCTCTGCCACTTTTGAGTGTGACAAGGTCTTAAAAAGTTGGAT